TTTTTTTTTACAGTGTAAGTTGCCATCCAATTTTATTTATTTCTTTTTTCAAGTTATACAAATAGTTTAGTTGTGAATTAAAGTTTGTAAAGTTATATTGAGGTTCAAAGACACAGTTTGTCCTGTAGGTTTTTATGCACCTTTGCCAATAAAATAATTATGCTATAGTTTTGTACTAGGTGTTATTATTAACATGAATAACTTCATTACATTTAATACTACTAATCAATAGTCATTGTACACTCAAATAGTTATGAAACTGATTCATATATTGTTATAAACATTAATAATTCAAAATGCACTCAACAACTACTTACCTGTTAAATGTAATGTTTAATGGCTTTACATGACATTACAACTTTATGAAAGTTATGAATCAGTCAAATTTACTACTGCAGAGCTATTTTTTCTTTGCATTTAATTTATTTGGCATCTCTTATTTATTTATTGAATTTAGTTCTTTCCCCTTTACTTATTTTTACATATTTAACAACATTGACAATTCTCATCAAATAGTGGTGTGTAATTTACCAGTGAAGTTCATTTACTTTTAGTGTAATTAAGTAAAAGCTCAGCTCTCAGATCAACATTTAATGTAGTAGATGTCTTCTTTCTTATCCTCCACGTTATGTTTCTCAGTTGCTGTGTAGTGCTCCTGTATTCAATGTTTAGAGTCAATTGCAAACCTTCAAGTGTGTGCTAGGGTAGCCAAAGAATCTGCTACACTATATTGTGTTGTTTTGTTGTGTGTTACGCCTCCGTGAAATCTGCTGTCTGCTGCAAGTGCTGATGAGAACATCTGTTATTGTTTCAGGAGCAACCCTGTGTTTTCTGTTTGTTTGACACCTTAGAGTTCCTGGAGCTCGACTGGTAGATCACAGTATTAGCAATGACAAGGTCATGGGTTCAATTCCCAGATACTGATAAAACATATACCTTGAATGCACACTAAGTCATTTTAGATAAAAGCATCTGTAAAATGAGATTAATGTTATTTTGGCGAGATCCATACTTCAGTTACTACAATACTGCAGGTCGTCTGGAGTCAGGGACAAGAAACATTGCCAGTGTTGAACATGTCGGACATCCAATGTGGCAGATTGTTGCCTGCAGACTGCTCTGCCCTCATGTGTATAATATAAAAAATATGAACACATTACAGCTCTTTCGGTTGCCATAGAAACTATAGATGTCTCAGTAGAGGGTGCTTAAGCTGAATCTGTATCTTCGATAAAATGGGGCAAAATCACACCTGTGAGTCTTTAGGAAATAAAATTGTTACAACTGTTATTGTAGAACAATTGTAGTTGTTTTAATATCTGAGATGGTAATTTCAGCTATTTTGGGTATTTTTAGTTTGGAAAAATGTCATTTTAGCAACGTAATACAGAATAATGTTAATAAAGTTGATAACATTTTACAGTTAGGTTATAAGTTCATATTTGTTACTACAATAACAATGTAGACTTATACAGCATTTTTTATTTTGGTTAATATAAATTTTTGCATACAATACAATAATACAATTTTAACAAAAAGCTGTATAAACAATAAAACAATTAACAGTAATATATTTATAAATTACAGTATATTATATTATATTATATTGACCCTTTATCATAGCCTCTGATGATGTGTTTCCACAGTTAACATCATAAATCTAGCAATTTTTTTTTAATGTTTTTTTTTAAGTTTATAACATTTATAACACTATAAATTTTGTTATATGACCTTGACATTAAATTTCAGAAAACTAATTGGCACTACATCGCTTTCTTGCTTCTAACCACTGTATTCAATCTCTTCATATGTTTTTCTCCTTTGGAAAATATAAAAATGCTATCATGGATTTTTTTTTTTCTATTGCTATCGGAGCAAATGGAAACACAAAAATATATAGTGGAAGTGTCCATTCAGTTTATATAATATTATATTATATTATATTATATTATATGTAAAAAAAATATAGATTATATAGTACTAAAAATGTTATGTCTTGTTACCTAATTATTGTAAAGGGTTACCATAAAGTTTGTAAATTTATTATATGTCAGTTTGAGAGGTTATTTTTAAAAGAGAGAGATTTTTATTTTTGGCCCTTTTATTAATTGCAATTAAGTTAAAACAGCACAGGGATTTATGGGGAGAAGATGTCCACATAACCACTACAGTTTGTTGTGTCAGAGCATGTGTGCTAACTTCAACAATCGTTTATAATCATTCATCTGAGCTTGCCTTTGGTTTTAGGCCTAGTTCTTTACACAGTCGATCCATCTTTTCCAGCTCACTGCTTATGCTCAGCACATCAGCATTCATCATCAAAAATACAGAAGGAGTTTCAGTGAGAACTGTGTAGTTTCTCTCCACCACCAGTGAGAAGCCACCAGGAAGAGAGTACTTTATTGTGCTCGTCCTGGTCCAGCTGTCATACATCTGGATCCGGGCCATGTTCAAGAAGTTCTTCATGGTCATACTTTGCATTTCATTGTGGGTCAGAGGGAGTTGGAGACACTTTGAGAGATGCAGCATGATGGAGCACGGGTCACTTAGTTCTGTGTATATCAGAGACGTATCTGAGGATGCGCTCTGAACTTGGCTTTTGGACATGACCTTCTCAGGACACTCATTGCTTGATGTTTCTCTAAAGGCAGCACCTGTTTCTGATTGTTCTTCAAGTGATGAGTTGAGTGTTTTGCGTTTCTTTTCTTCAGAATGTCCAACTTCCAACTTTTTGGTGTCGTATGATAGAGTGTGATTAAGCTCTTGTTCTTCTGCCAGGATCAGTCCCCATTGGCCGTTATGCTGATTCAACCAGGTCTGTGTAGAAGCCAGTTGGAAGCTGTCAGTATCGTAGTAGTACTCTACGTCTAAGGTTTCCCCCACACAGCGGGCGCCCATTTCCTTGAGGCGATGCTCTGTCTGCTCTCCCAGCTCGTACTCCATCTTCACTGGAACCCGCATGGTGTCTTCAAACACTTTGGGGCTTTCATCCGCTCTCACTGTATGTAGAAACGTGCTGTGTTTTAGTTTTACACGTTTGCTAGTGGCAGGTTGAATCTAGACATTTTTAATTGTATTTGTCAGACTGGCTTGCAGTATGACGGTGTATGTGAAAAACAGCAGTCCAATTCAATTACCTAGAAGGATAATTACAGAGAAATAAATAGAGCATATGAATTACACTTCTAAGCTAAACTTATTTAAAACACTATAGCATTTGACCAGTAACTCAGAAAAAGAGACATCACTGCATTACAGATTATTCTTTGCTCTAGTGGTTTTAGTGTTATACTTGATTCTGATTGGTTAACTTTGACAATCAGTGGTGAAAAACAATATATTTGCACATTGTCCATGGCAACTGACTGATGCTACTGGGAATGGGCTTTTTTGTTAGCAGAAGCTTTAAGCTAATCTAATATAATTGGAATAGTAATGTTTCAACATTCAATGGGTCAATATTTCAAGTTCAAGTTAGTAACTTGAAACTTAAGAGTGATTCAAGACCCCTCTGTACTTCATGTCAGGGTTCAGATCTCCCTGTCAGGGTTTATTTTATAATAAAGACTGACAGATTTATGCATTATGCCTATCTGAAGCAACATTTAAGCATATGCTCAAAACGCAGTGTTTATTGTATCAAGCAAGTTACCTTACCTGCAGGGCGGTGTACATCCAAACAACAATCCAAAATGTTTTGTAGGTTACAGTTTGGCTGAAGTTTTCTTTTTAGCTGTGTTGTAGTTACAGTCTTTGTCTATGGTTACTATGGTATGATGCATTGGAAGATGACAGCTCTAACTTTTGAACTTTCTGTTCATCAAAGAATACCGAAAAACACGCATCACCGTTTCCACATGATCAACTGTTTCCAATAAAATTGTATATAGCACATGTTTTCAGCATTGATAATAAGAAATGAGAACCAAATCAGCATATCAGAAAGATTTCTGAAGGATCATGTGACACTGAAGACCAGAGTAATGGCTGCTGAAAATTCAGCTTTGACATCACAGGAATAAATTACATTTTAAAATGTCTTAATATAGAAAGCAGTTATTTTAAATTGTAATCATATTTTACAATATTGCAAACAAATGCAGCCTTGGTGAGCATTAAAGGCTTTTATGAACATAAACGTTTCTTTCAGAAACTTGAAGAAATCTTACCAACCCCAAACTTTTGAACAGTAGTGTAGCTAGTATAATGTAGTGCCATTAGGCATTCATAAGCAAGCCATATGGACAAATACAGCTAAATAAACAAAAGCAGTCCTGCATGTGGACAGCAAACATGAGTGCTATCAGTGTTGACTGAATTCTTCACACTTGATTACACTAGTTAAATGCTGCTGCTCTCAGGTAAAACAGTGAGTTTAGCCATGCCTCTGGCTGGGGTATTTAACTTTGAAACACTATAGTACAACATTTGATCCATGTTAGCAATTGTGTCATAATCATGAAACATAAAACAACTCAATTAATCAAAGTCAAGAGTTTATTGAGCTCATAATGATCATAATGTTTTTTTGTTTTTTTCCTGTTATCTCTATTTCTCTTTCAGTATTACTAAAGAACCGCGACTTGGGATGGCTTTCACCAACGCTACCATGCACATATTAGCCATGTGAAAGATCTGGAAAAACAGAATGGGTATGCAAATTTATATATATTGTATTAAAGTATTATTGATACTAGTTAGTTATTGTAAAAATAAATGTTTGCTAATGGGGTCATATAATGAAATACCATTTTGAAGTTTAATATACTATGTAAAGCTTCAAAATTAAAATTTACTTCAGACAGACAGAAAACAAATATTTTATTATCACTAACATTATGAGTAGATCTATTAGAAAAATGTATGATATGACTACTTACAAAAAATTACTATAGATAATGTAGAATTAAAGGTCATGTTTTTCCTCATGTTTGAACCTCATTACATACATATACAATATCATACATATCATACATATACAAATGATCAAAGACTTAATTGAAACTGCTCTGCGTAACACGGTAACTTGTTCCCTTCCTGTCTGCCTGTCATACACTTTCTCTTGATATCGCATTGCTAAAACTGCTCCTTCATAACTTGAGCTGAATATGCTGAGGTCATCTCTTCTAGTTTGTTGTTGCCTTACATATTTTTTTCTGGTAATGAGCACATAGGGTGACAGTGTTATTTTATTATCATTGAGATACTATTATAGCTTTTATTATTATTATTTTGAATGTTTTTATTTTTATATTTACCTTTTTTTTTTTTTTAATGTTTTTTATTTTATATTTTGTGTGTTTTGTCATTTTATTAGTTCAGTTTTAGTTTTATTTGTTGTAGTACATCAAGTAAAACATGAAATGGTGCTTTGGCAACTAGCTAAAAATACAATAAGTTTAAATTTGGTTAACATTTATTTTATTTTAAGCAAAAATTGTTTTTTTATGGTTTAGGTTTAGTTTAGTTTTTTTTAAAGTTACCGATAATAACCCTGGAGTGAGGAGTCGTACTTGAGAAATTGCATATATATATATATATATATATAAACTACAAATAATAAGCTACATCTGCAAGTCTCCCATTGATTTGAACAGGCGATGATGTTAGCTTCTCCTGTTAATTTCAGCATACTGCTGGCCCTGTGCTTTTTGGTAATAATAAAACATTTCAGTGCTTTATTTTTAGGGTATTTTTTTTAAATATTGTTCAGTAACCAATATTTGAAATTGTTGGGTGACCATTTACTATCAAACTGAAAATCTGGATCCTGAAGCGCAATCAGCTTTGGCCATACAGACTGAAATATGTCATTGAGCAGTACACAGGAGAGCAGCTCTGCAGGGTCTTTTCATAATGTTGCGATGATAAGTATGTGGCTCATTTGAACAAGAAATGGCTGGCTGGAAGAATGTAGGGCAAATGCAGGAGTCATGTTGAGGGGAGAGAGCTGCATTTATAGTGAAGACCTCCCTCTACTGGCTATATTATGCATTGCTCCTCAGAATGAGTAGATCCCAAATACAGTAGCACAGTGTGTTAAACAATAATGATGATAATAAAAATACAGTATTTTATTTTAAGTCATAATTTCTATTTAATAGGCTTAATAAAACAAAATCTAGTTGCCAGATACACCTATTTGGGCATAAAATAAGGTGTAATGTGTGTGGTTGTGTGTTCCAGGGATGGCTGAGAGGTCGTGTGTGGTGGTGAGCAGCTGAGGTCGGCTGTGATCTGGGTCTTCTCTTCTGACTGAGAGCATGTACAGGAGGAATGGATTCCCTGCCAGCGTCAGCATCACCTCCCGCCACACACAGGTACTAAAACACATCCTATTTGTTTACTAAAGAGTTAAACTGTGACAACATCTGTCTTGAAATGTTTGGCTGTTTATGACAGTGCCTGTCTTGATTTATATTTGATCATTATACCCACCGGCAAATTTTCTACATAGCTGTGCCATAGATTTATCTCTTTTATTTTACTTTATTTTATTTAGTGTTCTTGCCAGGATCAATATCAAAAAGATTGGTAAATAAGGATAATCAGTAAACTGCTAAAGCATCAGCACTGAACATTAAACTGTGCATAATGGATTATAAACTGGAGATTTATTGCAGCTGATTATTATAGTCTCAGTGGTGCATGTGATTGCTCAGACACTGATTGGGGTCGCTGTTGAGTCTGAACTGAATGTTGTGTATAGCATCCAAGTTAGATCACATGATATTAGCTTGCTGAGGGGAATCAGATCAGAGAAACAGCAGCTTTTTGGCCCATCAGTGCTGATCAGTTCAAATACACACTGGCATGATGCTGCTCCAGTGTCACAGTGTTATGTCATTGACATACCATGTGAGCTCCAACTCTGGGATAGTTTTATTAGAAGATGTGACACGTTGTGTTTCCCAGCAGTTATAGGTTCAAAAAGTCTTAAAGGAGTAGTTCACTTCCAGAATTAAAATTCTGTCATCATTCACTCACCCTCCACATGTTCCAAACCTGAATGAGTTTCTTTCTTCTGTTGAACACAAAAGATGATATTCTGAAAAATGTTGGTATCCGAACTGTTGATGAGCACCATTGACTTCCATAGTATTTATTTTTCCTACTATGGAAGTCAGTGGTGCTCATCAACTGTTCGGATACCAACATTTTTCAGAATATCAACTTTTGTGTTTAACAGAAGAAAGAAACTCATACAGGTTTGGAACAAGTGGAGGTTGAGTGAATTATGACTTTTTTTTTGTGGTCAGATGGAATGGAATGAGAATTTTTTCCTGCATTGGTTCTGTTTATTTTTGTTATTTTAAAGCATGCTGAGACAGTTTCGTAAGAGGTGTTGGTCTGCACTGGGACAGGGGACATACTGAAAGATCTTTCAACACTATTTTCACATTGATGTAGTCCAAATGAAACTGCCAGTTAGGAGTTTAATTGCAGCAGTGATGCTTATTGCCTCAATTTTCTTAGTGGCCATTTAGTTTATTTGGAAATAATGTGTGAGTTTATGGTTGGCTTAGTCTTATAGGCTTTGTAGTTAATGATGATGACCTTCAGTTGATGTATTTTAAGTCAACAGTTTACTGTTGTGAAACTTCATCTATGTTTGCTAGCTAGAAAACATCACATCGTGGTGGCAAATAAAAAATAAAAAAACAACAACAAATGTTTATGTTTGTGAGGCATTAGAACACATACAGAAGAGCAATTAATATAAGATTCATGGTAACATAGAAAAAGGCCAAGGAAATAGGGATATTGATGATCATGAATATTTATTGAAAAAGGGCAGGTCTTGCTTAAAGATTCAGCAGAGAAACCATTTATGTCCCAAAAGTGAAATGTACTAGTAGTTTATAACATTACAGACCAAGAAAAATGATCTTAGATTGAGAAAGAAGAATGTTTCACAGCCTGCATATGAGACCATCCACTCTTACATTCATGAATACAGACACACTGTACTAAAGTTTGATAATTAATAATACACACTACCATTTAAAGGTTTGGGATTGGTAAGATTGTTTAAAAGTTTTTGAAAGAAGCATTTATTTGATCACAAATACAGTAAAAACAGTAATATTTTGAATTTAATATTTTGTGTTGGTAAAGTTTAATTTCTCCAGTCTTCAGTGTCACATGATCCTTCAGAAATCATTCTAATATGTTGATTTGATGTTCCAGAAACATTTCTTATTTATCAATGTTGTTGAATAAAAAAAGAACAGCATTTATTTGAAATAGAAATCTTTAGTAACATAATAAAAGTCTTTACTATCACTATTGATCAATATAATGCATCCTTTCTGAATAAAATAAATAATTTCTTTAATAATAATAATAATGATAATAATCTCATCTTACTGACTTCAAACTTTTGAACGGTAGTGCACACATTGAATAGTAATAACCTGAAATGAGGGCATGAACGAATCTTCCAGCGGTTAAGGGTGCACACAGAGCAGATAAGACACTGAGAAGATAAGACTGAGATTTTACATCAGTACAGATATTACACTGGATGGAATGGGGGAACTTCAAAGGGGATCTGTTAGGATAATTTGCCGAGGAGAAACCATTCTTTTTATAGTGACTGTATCTTTCTTTCTCTGGCCTTTGTTATGTGGTCTATTTTTGTCTGGCTTTAATTACAATATGGGCTGGATTGGCGCATTGCCTGTTAATAAAGTGATGTGGTTGCTTTCTGATCCACTTTTACAATGTGTGCTGAATAATCAAATGGAATGAAGTAATTCAAATGGACAATGGTAATTAAACTGATTAAATGTCCACGGGAAGAGTGCAGCTGGTCATGGCTCTTTGTCCATATGGATTTTATAGGTGTATGAAATATCATTCCTGATATAATGTCCAGCTCTTCTTTCTCTTTCCTGCCTAATTGCCTTCCTCCTGTGTCTGCAGGACAGCAGTAGTTCAGAGTCCCTGGATGGACGGAGTTTGGACTCTGCCAAGAGTTTTGACGCGGTGGTGTTTGACATGCTCAAAGTGACATCTGAGGAGTTTGCTGTAAGTTTCTAAATGCTCTAGTGTCAAAACATGACACTGCATTCATTTTTTTAACAATGAAATATGTTGATGCAGGTGCAAATTGCTGCAGTTGTGGAAAAGACCACTAGTGGCACTAAAAGCTAAAAATGTACTCCCATTGACAGATGCAATAAATACAATAAAAAGAGGGCATGCTTTTCAGTTAATAGAAACCTAAAATGTAGTCTTTTCCTCACAGAAAGCTAATTTCTCTTCTGAAGTTGAATTTTGGATTTAAAATCAAGTTTAAAGGAGATAGGAGTTGCATTGCTTTTGTTCGCCTTTTAACATTAGTTGATGATAGGACATTAATATTTTAACTTTCTTAAAGCCTCATCTGTATTAGAAAAAATAAAACTCTTTTTTTTTACTCATTTTTATACTCATTTTACCACACAGTAAGGGTTTGGCATGGAAACTGCAGTGATTTGAAGCTAGGGCAACATATTTCAGTTTTTTGAAAAACATATGCATCACTGTTAAGTAAAATGTTCTCAGACCTTGGCAGCACTTACTATCAGATCATTGCTCATACTGATTCATGTCAATTTCGTCCCTGACTTTAAGTGCACAATGGCCTAGTTCTGAAATTTCGTCTTTCCATCTCATAAATGTAATATGTGAGCTCAAGGGAAGCATTCAATTACCTATTCATTAGATATTGCTCTTTTTATAATTATAGAAACCCACTACGTTCTATTAAATGTGCATTAAATAACTTTTTCCACTGTAAAAATGTTTCACCCCCCAAGAAATCAATAGTACTTTTGTCAAGTATATTTGAAAATGTACAAACAAAAATATGCCTTATTTAAATATGTTAATGTAATAGTTCACTCTAAAATTATTTACTTTTTCCCATACAGTGAAAGCAAATGGTGACCACAGATGACAACGGTCTCTATCTGCTTTCATTGTATGGAAAAGACCAGCTTGAACATTCTGCTAAACATTGTGTTCAATGCGAGAAAGAAAGTCATACAGGTTTGGAATGACCTGAGGTATTAAATGATGGCAAAATATTATTTTTGAGTGAACTATCTTTTTTTAAGCTTGTAATACTCAGTTTTAAATTGTAGCTTTTATTTTGCAGAGTCAGATCACTTTGATGGATGCTCCTGTATTCAAAGCGATACAGCCTGAGGTGAGACACATATCCATGACAACTAAATACACATCCTCTGTGTTTATCAAGCCACACAGAACTGATCTCATGTGCTCTGCTCTCTGGTGCTACAGATTAGTGTGACGTGGCACTATAGCAGTGCATTAATGACACATACACACACAGACCACGGTACCCACAGCATCTAGCTCCACATTCTTCCATTACTTTACCCAGAGCTTATCCTCTGCTCTGAGTTACAGAGGCTTCGGTACTTTCCTTAATTAACATTTTATGTGAAGACGACATTGGAAAGACGCTCATAACAGATATGATAGATTTGGACCAGGATCAGTGAGAAGTGCTGAGTTTTTCCACAGATAACGAAAACAGGTCTGCCAAGGCATTTTACAGTTTATTGCAGGTTTTCAGTGTGATAAATTTTCGTTGACGTTTACATTTGGGCATTTAACATGTTAGCTGTTATCCAGATCTTACATAAGTGTTTAGTTTTCATAGGTTATCTTGCTATGATCAAAAGATGGTTGGTTGGCAGGTTCAGGGACGATAAAGCAAAGAGAAAGGCACTATCCATATAATATGAACCAAATAATAAATATGAGTAAATACAAATTTAATAAATAGTAAAAAATTTAAAACCATCCAGTTTAACTGGAAACTGATTTCATCACATGGTCAAAGACACATTAATCAAATGAAAAGAATACATAACATGAAAATATGACAGTTTTGTCTCACATTTTAGGGTTAATATGAGTCTGGAGAGAAAACCATTTTGGTGCCCCCATTTTATCATGAAGAAATATTAGCCAGGCTTCTTCCAGGTCTCTCCAGACATTCTACCCAGTAATGGCGTAATGCTTGAGCAGAGAGTTGTTTGGCAGTCTGTTTGGCAATTAGTCTGAACCAAGCTACTTTTCTTAATGCTTCACGAATGGAATCGTTTGGTTCCATTCATAGTGACCTTGGTGTGAATCTCTGGCCTTTTTCAAAGAGATGTGCAAATCGATCTTAACAGTACATCAGGATTGTTTGAACTTTTTTCAGAGTATGAGTGAGCATAAGTGAGATGAGTGCCATTATGATGATGTTCATTGACCTACATCTTTGCGGTCCTTAGTTAATACTGTATGACATCACCTCTGTGAGCTGTGTGCACTAATGAGTCAGTGTGGATTTGAGTTATTTTTATGTTGGAATCATTCTTCATTGACAGCCACAGATATTCCAGAGTGGATTTGTTTAATAAGGCCATGGGCTTATTGTTATTTATTGTTTTTTCCGCGTGGCAGCATTAATTGCTAGCATTATGAGAGTTTCAACCATTGCTGTTATGATTGATTCTGGTGAACCCAGCCAACGGTTTGGTGTGTTAACAATTTGGATTTCCGAGTTTTAGCACTTTCCATGAATAAAGGACAAAATGGGGCTGAAAGAAGGTGCTTAATCAAAATCAGGTTTATTTTATATATTTAATTATACACTATACCGTTTAAAAGTTTATGGTCAGTAAGAAATTTTTTTTCAGCAGGGATGCATTAAATTGATTGAAAGGGACAGTAAAACCAATTTAACAGTGTTACAAAGAAAATTCCATTTCAAATAAATGCTGTTCTTTTGAACTTTCTGTTATTAAAGGGGTAATATGATGCTTTTTTAAAGATCATTATTTTGTGTATTTGGTGTAACAGAATATGTTGACATGCTTTAATGTTCAAAAAACACATAATTTTTCAAATACTGTACATTATTGTAGGTCCTCTATGCCCCGCCTCTCTCAAACGCTTCGTTTTCTACAAAGTCCCTCCTTCCGACAAGCGCAGTCTGCTCTGATTGGCCAGCTGGAACAGTGCACTGTGATTGGCCGAACACCGCAAGCAATCGTCGGAAATGTAACGCCCCTTACCATAAACGCGAGCTTCATCTTTCAAAATAAACGTAAAGACAGAGCCCAAAAGGGGAACAGAGTCGCGTGACAGACACAGTGAGGAAGCTGGTATGTGTTTGCAGTACACAAGCCACGGTTAAGACAGCTGACTCCACTGTGATGTGACACTGTCTCTCCTCTCTCTCTCTCTCTCTCTCGCGCACACACACACACACACACACAATGCGCAAAACTCCGCATTTGAACAGTCAAAAGCAAATACTTAAACTAATAACAAAACAGTAGCTCATTCAGAAGCGCCAGATTGTCATAGCAAAGTCAGAATTACCTCCTCTCCTAGGTTCACGAAACGGTCGTCCATAAAATGCATTGCTGTTCTGTTGTAAGTAATCTTAAAGATTCCTAAATGCATCTACTTTCGGAAGGCCAAATAAAGTGCTTTTGCTTTCGCCTAGAAACACACAGCGTCTCCCTGACATGCTGCTTCAACACTAACTGCGGTTACTGAAACCACGCCTTCTTTCTTTGCGTGAACATTTGGGCGGCATTACGCAAATATTCCCACATAGTGACCTAGATATGTGGGGGCGTGTTAGAACAAGCCGTTTTAGGGGGGCGTGGCAGAGTCTTAACTTTGATAAAGAATATCTCTTTGGTTTTGAGACTTTAGTCTTTGCAACTTCAGGGATCTTATCTATGCACAATCAGCTTGTAACACTCCAAAGAGAAAGGAAAACTTGAAATCACATCATATGACCCCTTAAATGTTCAAAAAACACATTATTTTTCAAATACTGTACATTATTGTAAGTCCTCTATGCCCCGCCTCTCTCAAACGCTTAGTTTTCTACAAAGTCCCTCCTTCCGAAAAGCGCAGTCTGCTCTGATTGGCCAGCTGACCCAGTGCATTGTGATTGGCCGAACACCGCAAGCACGCGTCGGAAATGTAACGCCCCTTACCATAATCGCAAGCTTCATCTTTCAAAA